TTTGGTTGTTTCGAGTAGTATGTAAAAGCAATACATTTTACATAAGAATTTATTTATTTCTAAAATATTGGTGACATATGTATATAATATTAAATGTTTATTTTTGTTCATTGAAATTGAAAAGCAGTCAAGATGACTTGCTTAGGCAATCAAGTGTTAAGATGTCTTCAAGTAATCGTTGCCAAACTACTTGGTCAATGAAAAACAAAAGAATGACGACTCTCAGACGTTAAATGTACCCAAAAGTTTAATTTTTGGTTTGACGTTTTAAACACGTCATCCATTCCTAGGAGAAAAAAAGTGAATGACGTGTCTCAGACGTTAAATGTACTCAAAGAGTTATTAATATATTTAATAAAAGAGTCATTTTATTTGACATTATAAAAATAAACAAAAATGTTACACTATATTATCCGAAACAACACAATTAAAAAACTTTTGATATTAATCTTAATATTATTAAGTTAAAATTTATTAAAATAAAATCTAGATATAATAGTATAATAAAGAACACAAAAAATATATTATAAAGAAATAAAGAAGAGTAGGAGGATCAGTGTCGTATTAACGAAAAGTTAAAAGAACCTCCTATCCCACCCACCCTACCACCCTTCATCCCTTCTCTGGCCTTTAATTCTCATGAGGGATGATAAAGAGCATCGGTCCGCGTCTACTTTGCAAGTCCACGTTGGAAAGCTTTTCCAACCCCCTACCCCCTTTATATCATCACCGTACCAAACCAACCCCCTTCTACTATACCTTGCTGACAACCAACCCTTCTCTCTCTCTCTCTCTCTCTCTCTCACCCAATCTTTCTACCTTTTGCACGATATAACGTTTTACGAGCGCCATTCTTTATTCTTTCGCTTTACTTTTTCTTTGTCGCTTTACTTTTTATGATTTTTTTTCTTTTTTTTTTTTTTTTCCACCACCACCATCCCCCAGCCTCCTTTTTATTTTTTTTTATTACACACTTCTATTTTTTTTCTCTTTTTTCTTCTTCTTGTTCTTGTTCTTCTTTCTCTTTTCAACCGCAGATATTATACGCCTTGTTGTTATGCTGTTTCTACTGCAACTGCATTTCTTTTTTTTTTTTTCTTCCTTTCGTGCATTTATTTTACCCTCGCCGACAAACAACCAAAGGGGTTGGGAAATGGGCAGACGCGTAGACATTAAAGGCTCGACGCAAAATAAAAAAAAAGAAGAAAAAAAGTAAAAGAAGAAGAAGAAGAAGAAAAGGGGTGGAAGGGGGGAGAATACGAGATGGGGGATGAAATGGCGAACGAATCTTGAAATATATATATATATGTATATGTATATGTATATGTATATGTCGTGTGTGGGATGTGGTTTTATTCTCATTTCTCATTTCTTGTTTTTATTCCTATCTCTCTTTCTTTCTTTTTAGATTTTTCTCTCGTTTATTCTCTTTTTCGGTAGAAGTACGAATAAACCAACCAACCAACCACCCCCCCCCCTCCACCCCGCTTATGACTTAAGTCGGGAAAAGAATGTTCTCGTTTGCGTTGAAAATTATCGCGAAACATGTTGAGATTTTTCTTACGAATAATAAAACGTATACGAAGAAAATATGAAAGATAACTTCTTATCCAATCCCACCCCCTTCCCACACACACACACACACGCACACACACACACACACCTTCTTCACCTTATTCTCAATATTTCTTTTTCCATTTTCCTTTCTCTCTTCTGCATTTCCTACGTTTCCTGTCGTTGTTGTTGATTTTTTTCTTTTCTTTTCTTTTTCTTTTTTTTTAATTCTTTTTTTTGACCCCACTCTCTCTCCCACTCTTTCTTTTTTTTTTCTATTTTTCTTATTTCACGAAGAGAAAGACTTCCATAATCTTTTTCAAGAGTAAATATTGAAAGAGAAAGGAATCGGAAACACGTTGGGTGGTGGCAGTGGGTTGTTGGGAGTATTTATAAAAAAAAAAACAAAATAATGGAAATCTTGAAAGATACACTCGGTACCCTTTCGTCTTGGCTACTGATTTATTTAAATTATTATTTTTCTTTTGTTTTGATATGATTTCCTTCCTTCCTTTCTTTTTTTTTCAACAAGCATTTTCTTTATTTCATTTTTGACTTATGCAATAAACTTCTTGTATAATATATAACGCGAATTTTTTTAAACAAAGAGAGAGAGAGAGAGAGAGAGAGAGAGAGAAAAAATATTTGTATTTTTAAAGATATCATTGTAACAAGATTTTTTTAATTATAATACCATATTTTTTTTATATATAAATTAAGTTTGATTTTTATTTACGAGTAAACAATATTATTATTATTATATTTAATTAATCATTTAATTTTTCTTTTTTTTTTCAATTTGTGTTCAACGTGCCGATTTTTCACGCGGGGGCCTGATAATTATGACAGTGTTATAAATAAATAAAAATAAGAAATGAATGTTACAAATGTTGCACCATTTATTACACCAGACAAATCGATTACACATTTTATTATACTTTTATAATATCGAGTATTCTATATCGGTGTAATACTAATGACAATTTCACGCTTTCATCGTTATTAGAATTTCGATTCGAATGAAAATTTCACGCTTCTTTTTGTTCCCTATTTTTTTTTTTTTTTGTTTTTTTCGTTGTCGTTGTTCTTACGCGATCATCGAGAAATAAAATCAATAAATAAGAAAGGAAAGAAATAAAAAAAGAAAAAAAAAAAAAAGAAAAGGAAGAAGAAGAAGAAGAAGAGAATGTGAAATAAAAAAAAAAGAAGAAAAAAGAAAAAAAAGGTTCACTTCTTACAGGGAACGGCAAAATAACTTTCTAGTCCGAGGCATTTCGCGTTTTGCCTTCTCCTTTTCCGACTCTTTTTCTACTTAAAGCTTTAAAGCTTCAAAGACCGTCGAAAGCATCGGTGGTGGGTGCTTGAAAAAGTCTAGAGAAAACTGCAACCAAAGAAAGAAAAAGAGAAAGAAAGAAAATGAGAGTTGTGGAAAAATCAAAATGGAACGTGAAAAAATGAAATGTAAGGAAAGAAAGGAAGAATAATAATATAAGAAAGAAACAACAACAACAACAACAACAAAAATAGAAAAAAGATAATAAAATAAAAAAATCAAAGGGGCAAACATTGATTGCATATAAAACATGACTAAATAAAATGAAAAATAAAATACGAATTGGATAATATTCATACTTACTCGTTCGTATGAATAAAAAGAACGAAAAAGAACAAAAAAACACAAACAATTTTCGACATTAATCCTAAACGAGAAACGAAATAAAAGAAAATAATGAAAATAAAGAAAGATAAATGGCGAATGCATACAAACGTAGGTGAAAATTTTCGAATAAACGATAGAAGAAGAAGAAGAAAAAAAGAAAAAAAAAGAAAAAAAAATTTCCTACGATTATACGAAACGTAGATAGGTAGGTGGGGGGTGGGTGGGGGAGGGTTGAGGGAGATTAGGGGGAGGTGGAAATAGAGGGAAGGACTCGATCGTAAATCTTTTTCCCGTTCGAGAGGGATCGTCTCGAAGCCGATCTGAACGAACGATTTACGAGCCCGATGTCTATTAATTTTACATCGTGCGTTTTACGATAACACGTTGAATGGTTACATTGTGTGTTAGTATACTACTACTACTACTATTACTATTACAATCAAACGATTTCAACTCTGAACGCAATATTTAATACACACACGAGTATTCTTCCATGTATTACAAAAATATATATGACAATCATATACGTATACACATATATAGATATATGTATGTATCTTGTATATCATGTAAATGTGTGTAACATCATAGTAATGTATTTATCGATAGAAAACTATCGAACATTTTATCGAAACGTGAAGTGTTCCTATACAATTGTAATGGTGAGAAAGAGAAAAAGTGGAAATGGGGGGCTGGAAGGGGGAAGGGAAAGGAAGGGAGAAAGGTGAAAAGGTTCACCCTTCTCGTTCTCCGTGCATACACATCCACATACATACGTGAGCTCACGAACCCCACGTTCGACATTAGAAATGATTGAAGATTGAATTTTAAATTGGCTATCGACGATCGGACGTTCTCGTTTTTCCTATATACGGAAATCTATCTTTAAAGGGTGACGGGGGGGGGGGAACGGGGGTAGGAGGTAAACGTAAAAAGGGGTTTACGTAATTAAAAGAAGAAACAAAAAAAAGAAATGAAAAAGAAAATAAAAGGAAGTAAGAATAATTAAATTTCGCGATTACTTTCTTCTTCTTTTTTATCTTTCTCATTTACGATCGAATAATAAAAGATGGGGTTTTTTTTTTTATTTTTCACAAATTTATATGTTAGAGTATGATTAGAAGAATTCTATTGTATAATATAAAAAAATATTAATACTTTTAATGAATTAATCATACTCCTTATATATTTAAAATATTGATCTAAAATTAATATTTCCAAATGTAAAATAAAAATATTGTCAAAAATCTATATATAATACAAAATATATAATATATATTAATAAATAATTATTTAATACAATATATATATAAACTTATAGACGATATTGTAATTTTGTTTTATAAACCAATAATGAATGTTCCTTTTTTTATTTTTTTATTTTACATTCTACTTTGAAATAAACTTTTACAAAGATCTACATACATATATACATGTATGTATGTAATTAATATAATATATATTATATTTATATATATATAATTTGTGTATACGATATTGTAATTTTGTTTCATAAATCAATAATGAATTTTCCTTTTTTTTTTACTTTTTTATTTTACATTCTACTTTGAAATAAACTTTTACAAAGATCTACATACATATATACATGTATGTATGTAATTAAACACGTAGAGACAATTAATTACATCGGAAGCTGATCATCTTCATCGGATCTTATTTGACTGTCTTATGTGATAATGGATCAGTTTAATGGAATTTAATCCTTTAACGAGGAAAAACGAGTTAGACGCTCGTTTGAAAAGGTTCTTGTTAACGAGTAAAAGGAGTTTAAGTCACTGAGATCTCTCTCTTCCTCTCTCTCTCTCTCTCTCTCTCTCTCTCTCTCTTACACTTACTCTTTTGCTTTCTTCTTCGAATTGGTCTTTTTTTTTCTATCTATCTTTTTCTATCCTACACGCGAAAAGTTATCATCAAAGTCGTCTTTTTTACTCTCTAATACTTTTTATATTTTTTTTTTGTTTCTTCTACTACCATCTCTCCCTTCTTATTGGTTTCCTTTTTTTGCACTTTTTTTTCTCTCTCTCTCTTTCTATCTATTAATTTTTTTTT